ACGTAAGAGAACAGACAAATGAGAGTGGAGAGCATGAGCGAAGAGTACAGGTGGCCTTAGCGGAGATGTAACAAATGTAATAGTAATTCACGTACTAAATTTCAATACATGTGCACATGTACATACATCTCCGTACAACATACGGAGTACCTCCAGCCTCCAGGGCTCTGCTCACTTTCTGTTTGCGGTGAGTGGATCTTTTTCTGACTTCTGTTCCTGTTCCTGTGTTGCTGTTTTTGCGTTTGGGTTCTTATTCTATTTTCTAGACTATCACTGCTTTTTCTTCTCTTAATTTCCCTTTCAAATCCCCCAAATTGAAGTTAATGTTTGGTGCCGAAAAAAATTACTCCCGGAGTACGTATCCCATTCCATCCCTTCAACCTTCATCATCATTTCTTCATCCACGCTCGTTTTTATTATCTTTTTTTTGGTCCTCCTGTCGCACTCATTAATCTCCGAGCATTTTAGTGATCATTTCCTTCTAATTTCCCTTATCTTGCCCACTTTTCTCCGTGGCTTCCTCCGCCTTCAGTCAAGGAAGCCTGTCCCGGCCACGACCTTTTGAATTTAAGCGCTTCTTATCCGAACAATCTCGAAATTTTACAATGAGCGACGGTGAGAAGGTCCGCGCCTCTGGCGAGACTCCCCGGGAGCAGTCTCTGCCTACTGTCAACCCCGCAGCGGAGAAAACTGAGCAGCCCAGCATTACATTCCACCCCGCTGTTTATGTGACGTGAGCGACCATTGAAGGAAACAGACAGACTGGACAGAGTTGCTGATATCTTGATAGTACATGGATCACTTTGAGTTCCACTGTTATCCTGTTTAACAAGTACCTCCTCGACTATGCCAACTTCCGTAAGTCAGACCGGAGATACAATGCGAGGAAACTGGCACTGACACGCTGTGAATAGGTTTCCCCATTATCCTCACAACATGGCACTTGTCCTTCGCTACCATCATGACCCAAATCCTCGCTCGCACCACCACTGTCCTCGACGGCCGCAAGAAGGTCAAGATGACCGGCCGTGTCTACCTCCGCGCTATCGTTCCCATCGGTATAATGTTCAGTCTGAGTCTGATTTGTGGTAACATGACCTACCTCTACCTTAGCGTAGCCTTCATCCAAATGCTGAAGGCCACCACCCCTGTGGCTGTTCTCCTCGCAACCTGGGGTATGGGTATGGCTCCGGCCAACATGAAAGTTCTAGCCAACGTCTCCATCATCGTGATTGGTGTGGTCATTGCCTCCTTCGGTGAGATCAAGTTCAACATGGTCGGTTTCCTGTTCCAGCTTGGTGGTATCGTTTTCGAGGCCACCCGTCTGGTCATGGTGCAGGGTCTGCTCAGCTCCGCCGACTTCAAGATGGACCCCATGGTTTCTCTGTACTATTTTGCCCCCATCTGTGCTGTCATGAACGGTGCCGTCGCTCTGTTCTTGGAACTCCCTCACGTCACCATGGACCATGTTTACTCCGTTGGTATTTGGCTTCTGGTTCTCAATGCCGTTGTGGCTTTCTTGCTCAACGTCTCGGTCGTTTTCCTGGTAAGTAATACTATAGGATTCCGGATCTCGATCCCAAGGGAAGTATTGCTAACACTCTCTACAGATTGGCAAGACCTCTTCCCTGGTCATGACTCTGTGCGGTGTCCTCAAGGATATCCTGTTGGTCGCTGCCTCCATGCTCCTATGGCAGACTCCCGTCACTGGCCTCCAGTTCTTCGGTTACTCCATTGCTCTGATGGGTCTTGTCTGGTACAAGCTTGGCGGCGACAAGATGCGCGAGTACACTTCCTCCGCCAGCCGTGCCTGGGCTGAATATGGAAACAACCGCCCTGCACAGCGCAAGTTTGTCATCTTTGGCGCTGCCGCGCTTATGTTCTTCCTCTTTGTTGGCTCTATGGCTCCCAGTTACGCCAATGACTCCGTTGACCGTGTCAAGGGCTACCTTGGTGGTGTCACTGCTGGTAATGCTTAAATGCACTTATCATACCCTTGGCTTTTCTCAGACCCTTGGCTTTTCGTCTCCTATGAATTGGAACGCAGAAAACTTGATCCAGTGCTCAAAGTCACAATATCCATTCTCGGATTGAGTGGACCGAGATGAGAGCGCGACTGGATAAATGCAGGCGTTGTAGTGGTATCCGTTCCCTCCCGTCTCTCGGTAACACAGAGAGACTGCCGCTCATGCTTTTGTCTCTAAGGGCCCCTACGATGCAATGGAAAACGGAGGGGTCGTTTTTGGCTGTTTTACTACCAAAATTTTTTTTTTTTTCAGCCACATTTTTGTGATGTATACAGTGACATGAAAGTGTTGTTACTGGCGGTGTATTTCTTTTTTTTTTTTCC